ATTCCTGTTTCACTCTCCTTGCAGACTAAAACGTACTACAGGCAGAAAACTCAGACATTTCTACTGATTGATTCTGTAATTTTGGCTGTAGAGTAAAGCACATGATTGTAGAATCGGATTCTGAAGTTTCAAGGGTGCTTAAAATCTCCAGTAAAGTGTGGGAAATTAAAAGATGAAATATCCTTTCTCTATGAAGCCCAGGGACCAATTGACCTATCACGATTTAAAAAAATACAGTTCCCAGTCCAATTCAAATGATATTACTAGTAAATTTCAATTCTTAACTCTACAGAAGAAGCTTCATTTGCTGCTTTCTGATATTCCTGCTAACACTGGTCTTAGGTATCTGCCTTGGAAAACATTTTTTACTTGCAAATTGGTTAGTAGCTACCAAACAATCAGGAGAATCTACATTGAGATTAAATTAACACAGGACTTGAAACTAAGCTTCTGTTGGTAAAACACACATCCCCAGCCACTGAAATAATTCCTCAAACTTTTCCTTTGAAGACACAGACAGCTTTCTCACTGCCTCTTTGGGATTTGTGGTTTGTTTGTTTGTTTAGGAAAACAAAATATTTTACCTTGATCCTTGACCAAGAAATTGGTAGTAACAAGAGGTGGGACTTGCCCTCTCACTCCAGTGACAAATGGTTCTGACCCACGATTACTTCTGTCATCTTCAATCACTTGAATCTATGATGGAAAACACCACATTAATATTTGGAAGCTTGGTTGCAAAGTACTGTAAAACACGAGATTTATATCTGTCAGGCAGTGAAAAGGGGACCTGAGGCTAGCATTACTATGTCTAAAAATAAGAAGTCTAAAGCAAACAACCTTGTCAAGCAGTCACCTCTCAGTTTGATTTCAAATAGTACTTAATGACTAACAATAAATTACAAGTTGCAAATAGTATTTTTACCCAAGTATTTTGAGTAGTAGCATATTTTGTGTTCTAAAGTCTGATCTGAACTCATGAAGGCAAACACAGACCAAGAAAGGAATTTCTGGTAGTATTTCCCTGTAAACTGGTTCTAGCCAAATTAAAATTAGAGGCTTCTGTAAGCCTCAGGGTGAAGTTCGATAGATAACCTGTCTTGTCTTTTCTGTTATGTTCCCACTGTTTTCATAGTATGCTTTTATTCCTAACCACTGTGACTCTGACCGAAAGACAGATGCCTGCAAGCTCAGGCGGAAATCTTCATTACTCCATGGTGCTCAAGAGTTTGTGATTTGAATTCTGGGGATGTACAAAGTGAAGTTTCAAAAGACTTGCCAATGAATCAAGCTTAAACTTCGCGTAGCCAGAAAAAATCTTAAATTTCTCAGTATTTCAAATTCTTCATTAATGCAAATATGCTTAAGATAACGGAACTGCACTAAACAGTTTTACTTGACTAAAACATCCACTGATCTTTGCCTAAGAACAGAAAATTGTAGTTGGACACAGTTTTAACTGCATTTCCATACCGGTGTCTGAAGGAAAGCATTAAAGCTACCAATCATTCTTCTGATCTTATTTTGCCAAACACACATGCCTCTGCTTAGAGTAAATTGTGAAACGCAGAAGTTTAAACAGCAGAGCTTCTACCCTCTCACTAAGGATTCCAAGTCACCAGCAGAAAGCCTCTCATAGCATCAGAGAGTGACTACTCTAGGATAAGTCTAGACCCATTTCAAAAGTCTACAGATTGAGTGACATTTGTGGTCTCACCGCTGGTACCTGTTATATGACCAACTTTGGCTAAACAAGGAAGAAGTGATACAAGTGTAATAGAAAGTCAAATGTGTTTTTTTTCTTCCAATCCAAAAGGTAGCTGCTTTTTTCTTTCTTTAGGTAAGATTCTCTACACATAAACATTAAATTTCCAAATACAAATTTAATGGTTATGTATGAGCACAGATAATGAGAGAATGTTTATAGCTCCCCATGCCTCATATTAATCTACTAGAATACTTATATTAGGAACTAACATCAAAACAAAACTGTTCATCTGTAATTTTAGAACTTCAAAGCATTCATCCAGTAGTGGTATATCAACAAGAACAGTACTCAAATTCTGCTCAAAACTGGTAGAATACATGGCTAAGAAGGCTCATGCTGTGTGTATGTTAACACAAAACACACACTGTATGGACAATTATATTGATGGCTTACAATGAAAATGCCAGTTGGAATCTGATGAAGGAGATATTTTAAAAATCAGACAAAGTGAAGGGGAGACATTCTTCATGATCTGTTTCTGAAACAGTCTGCTTTTTATTGCCTCACCATTCATCACAGAAGAGTAGATTTTAACGACCTCTTATGGTGTAATGTTACTTATTTTGATAAGGCAAGCAGAAGACAGCAAGGAAAGGGTAAAGGATTAACAATGAACGGTTAGTGAGGTGAAGTTCAGGTTTCACGCATGCATGGATGGTCACCAACACACAGACTACAATTGACATATATACAGCACTTACTGGACTAGGAATTGCATCTGGGTCTATTCTGTGCCTGGGTTTCTGCTGGGGTGGCAGCTCATTAAGTTGCTTTTTTTAAAAAAAATAAAGAGTAAGAGTGCCACGAAAAAAAAAAAAGAAAAAGAAAAAGAGAGAATAATAAACCAAAAAGTAACAATGTTACTTCTCTCTACCCAAACCTGTAGCACTGGAATTAGATACATTTGGACATTGGTTCATGCAACAGGAAACATCAGCTTCTGCAGCATAGAGGGACCCAAAAGCCAGTCTTGCCAGGATATTGGGCTTGAGCTCTGAACTCATTGCTAACAGAGGCAACGGCTGACGTGCTCATTGTGGTTAGAAATTGGGGATTTTATGCTTTAAGAACATGCTAAAATGAAGGCAACTGACACAAGCCATTTGAGATCTCATTTAGTGGAAGAGAAGAGAAGCAGACAAGCAATTAAAGACTTCCTATATTCTACAAAAAAAATATGGTCATAAACTTTACACAAACTTGGAGCCTAAACAGGTAATATTTTTTGAATAGCAATAACTACTGAACAGCACCAGTCCAGATCTAAGATGTAACTCAAGACTAAATTATTTTTACAGTTTTGAAGTACACTGTAAACACTACCCTGGAAAGATTTCCTGTTACCAAATAAATAACTGTAGCCACCTGAGACAATAACAGAACAGCACCAGTGGAAGGAACAGCACAGTAGATTGATGGCAATAATACTGCCAGGCTTAATATTACTCATCATTGCTAATCATTACACATCACCACTTGTCCTTTCTCAGAACCTCCATTCTGAAATATAATTCAAATTTGAGAAATTGTCCATATTTGACTGAAGTAGTGTTGTGAATTAACGACCCCAAAAAAACGCTAACCAGCTTTTTGACAGATTATAGGAAAAGGGAAAGGAAAAGCACTACAATCACCTCTTATTAACCATGGTTTAAACTTGGACCATACAGTTCATAAATTGTCACCTCAAAACCTGAAATTAGTTCACCTTGGAAAGTCATTACACAAGAATCCAGAAATGAAGAAACAAGCTTGATCAAAGCCCTCAAGGATTCTTGAAATGTGATACAGTACAGAAAAAGACCTGAGGAATTGGAGCACTGATTTGCACATGCAGTGCCCTTCTTTAGTCACCAACAAAAACACTGCTTCTGGGCTTATCGATAAAAAGAGGCTGAAGCTGCATATTCAAGAGACAAGTAAGCAGGAAAACAGACTGATCTTCTTTGGAACAAGAAATGTGTTTTCAGGTTTGGTCTTTGTCAGTTCTGTTCTATGTAAAGACACTATGGAAGAGTTCACGCTGGTAAGAACAAAGTAAGCTTACAGGGCTAGGAATGGAGTCTGGATCCAAGCGTTTTGGTGGAGGTGGTGGTCCAGGTTGACTTCCATAATTTGGTGTTCCTGGATAGGCTCCTCCATAGTGTGGTTGGGGACCCCTCACCTGCCCAAAGGAACCTTACAAGAAAGGGATAGCAAAATCAAACAGTGGCTAATACTATTCATTTCTTCATTAGGCACTTCCTACTTCTCCTGTCGTCGTCAAAAAACGAGAAGAAACCAAGCCATGCACTTTTCAGTTAATTTGGATTAAACATATTCATCACAGTGTTTCAGCTTAGCCCTGTGCATCTTTATCAATTATTCAGAAACACCTCCTTAAAACCAGATTTAAGAAAACACAGGTTGTTAGATTAACATAACTATTTTTAGAATAATACGATTAAAAGACGCATCAAGATCATACACTATAAACATTTAAGTTGCAGAACCGTCTAATAGAAAGCACACACAACAGTCAAATAAGCTAGAGGATAACCCATAATTCCTCAAACTAAAGATATGCAAGCAGTCCTCTCCAGTAGTTTTGGCTTGTCTGAAATTATAGTAATATGCTGATGTGTGATTCTCTCTTTTGTTTTGTAATTACTTGAAGTAATTTCCTATTGCTTTAGACAATTTCAGCCAGTTATGGAATAACAGCATGATTTACCCCATTAGTGTCTTTACAGTTCATAGCAATTTGGACAGATATTTTTAAGTAATTTACCTAGCCAGTTGTGCAACGCTGCATGGGGTATGGGGTTCTCAATCCTGACACTTGCACGTGATTACTTTATCTTAGCTATCCATAAATGTTATTAATTAAAAATCAGTCAAAACTTTTTATAACTCGGAAAGCTTAACTGATATTACTTCTAAGCACACACAAAATATGAAAGGTTCTAAAAGGAGAAAAATACAGTTTTGTGAATTGAAGAAGAAACAGTAGCAACTCCTTTTCAACATTGAACTCCTCTCATACACATTGTATGTGCACATTGGCCACAATTTAAAGAAAAAAATCGTAAGGCTTTTCAGGATTTCAAATCTCTACTTTTGAACACATGAGGTTGCAGACATTATTAAAGTTAATAATAAAATGTTGATCATAAATTCTTGTATTATGGCACTAATCATTAAACAACTCTTTGGCCAAATAAGCTAGGATTCCTTTAGTTACATATCTGATTAAAACCTGTATGACAAATATCTTAGAATGACACATCCTATTGTTTATCTTGAATTTATCTTTCAGATATGAACACAGGGAAACAAGAGGGAACCTTTGAAGTGCAGCCAGAAGTCCGCAAGTAACAAACCTGAAATCCAGTTCTCAGTTTGCAGCACACCAAGAACACACACAACTTACAATTTCTATACTAGGAATACCCACCGTTCTGCTGCATTTGGTATCCTGGTTGAGGAGGATGAGTGGGAGGAGGTGGTACATGGAGGCCACTCATGGGAGGCCCAGGGTGCGGCCCCGACATAGTTGATGGGGGTGGTGGTGAGGACACATGATTAGGCTGGGACGTTGGTGGTCCAGCAACTGTCTGCCCAGGCAGTGGTGGGCCTGGCATGGTAGGTGGCCTTGGAGCACCAGTAGTAGGAGGGTAAGAGGAAGGTCCAATCCCTGTAGAAGAGGGAGGTGGGGCAAAACCAGGGACTTGAGTAGGCAGGCGCTGTGCTGATATTGGTTGACCAGAAAACGGAGACTGTGCCAAAGGAAGGCCCTGAGACACACTGGTAGGAGAGGGTCCTTGGCTCGCAGTGTAAGGTGTGTAGAGACCAGATCCTGTTGCACTAAAGCTTCCTGAGACTGGGGGAACCGATGTTGAGGGACCTGATTAAGAAGAAAAGAAGACAGAACATCATTTTCTTCTATCCTCAGGACAATTAAAATTCAAAAAAAAACCCCCTTTGCTCTAGATCATCTAAATAGGTCTACTCATCTTCAAATACACTTGCCAGTACTAGTAGAGACAAACCTTAAGTGAACACCTTCCAAAACCGATCAGAGAGCTGAAACTCCTCCAAGCAATCTGAAACTTGATAGTTCATTGTCCTCTCCCTCAAAGCCTAAGCTTCTTATTTTACAAAATCAGAACACATTTCAGGATTCAGGGCCAGAAAAGAGGGGCAAAGCAAGGAGCATGCAAAAGAACCACAAGTCTGTCTATCGATTTCTTGAACTGAAATAAGTTTGTATCTTAAACTCCACACTAAGTTGAAACCTGTAGCTCAAGAACGGTTTTGAGCTTCATGGTTTTAATAGCATGGAGCTAACATCTTCCGTATTTATCACTGTACTATTTCTGAGGATAATTTTCGACAAGCACATTGCCAAAACGCTGGAGAAATCTGCATCCCCTACTCCTCTAAAGTCTGTGTCAGAGTATGAGAGATGCTTGTCAAAAAGTACTTCACCCAAACAATTAAAAAAAAAAAAAAAATCAAAGCGTATTCAGACCAGCTTACACATACTGAAGACAAATCTCTAGTCTCCAATTTTAAAAAAAAAACTTCTGTAATCTACAGCAGTGAGACTGTAGATCTAATACAATAGAACAAAATATCTAAACTCAGTTTATACTGTTTAAGTAAGTTTCTTCTCAACTTTCAGCAAAACCTTTCACAATCAGAGTAATTTCTGCCCTTTGAGATTTACTGAGCCCTTTCTCTTTTTTTTTTTCTACTAGGCTGCTACACAACAGTGGCAAGGCATCTCCAACAGCTCACCTTGGGATAGACTATTTTTGTGTTTCACACCAAGAATCACTCAGTTGAGGAGAAATATTATTACTTTCTTTGGTACTCATGCCCTGCAGTGCTTCCTACACTGTCCCCTACAATAGTCTCAGTTCTGTTTTCCCCAATGATGATCTTATTAGTCAAGGAAACTACCGAGCAGATGTCAACATCCAGTGAATTCCCATCACCATACGGTAATGAATCATTGACAAGAGCAAGTCTTTTATGAAATTACTAGCATAAATGAAAAGCAATAGCATTATTTCTGCAGCCAGGAAACCTCACCATAGCCCAGTCCAGCTGGGGGAGGAGCAGAGGCTGCAGTACTACCAATTGTCATCCCTGCCATGTGATTGCTGAGGTGCTGTACACTGGCTGGGGGGGGACCATATTGCTGGAACGTAGATGTCTGGCTGACGGGCGTGGGTGCTGAGCCTGGCAGAAACGGCTGAGAAGCAGGTGGCCTGAGAAGGAAGATGAAAACTTTACTGCATTCTCCATTATACAAGCAGTTACAATTCTCTATGTCTTTTAAAACTGTTCTACCACAAACACTAGCTGGATCTCAATTGTTTACACAAAGCACTGTAGCTCAGTTTTGGGAAAATAATTACATGTTCTGCATGGATCCCTTCTATAAAAATATCTATTAGTTCTTAAAATACAAATTCTACATTTATAGCATGGTTTTTTGTTAATTCTGTTATAGTTATCACAACAAATCAGAAATACTGCAGCAGTCTACAGGGCGAGAGCAACAGTTAAGGCCTGCACAGCTACGTAAGAATGCTCTGTTGCTCAAAGGATTTGGACTCTCCAGCTGACAGTGCTGAGCTTAACCGGAAGGAAATGAAAAACCACCTTCCCTCACAACCAGCAATCAGAATGAAGCAGTGAGGACTGTTGTCACTTTCAGCACAGAGGTAAAGGCAATGTCTTGCTGGAGAAGATGCCCAAGAGCTTTAGACAAAGATAACTCAGCGATCCATAATGGACAGAAAAGGACCTAGAACCAATACTAAGGAATTACTCAGTAATGACGAGCAGCAACATGCTCCAGACAGAGATCCATTTACATTGCTAAGGAATCAAATGCTACGGTTGTGTGTATGCAATTGTTTTAAAACAAGACAGATTATGGGCATAAGAAAACTCCTTATGGGAAAATAACTACCACAAAGAAAGTCTTTGAAGGACAAGTGGTTTTGATCAGCCACTGACATCTGTTCATATCCTTCCAGAAGTTTTTCATCTCCAGAGATTCTTATTGTCTAACAAATACCCCTATGGCAAGATGTTGTTTCAAAATAATAAGGAAGCAATAAAGAAAGTCAATGTCCACCACAGGAAAAACAAAGTATTTAGTTTGGTTTAGATCCTAAAAAGGTCTAGACCTATATTATTTGCTCTTCTTGTATGTACCTCTGCATCGGGGCTGCTGACGCTGGAATCCCATTTTGCACATCTCCGTGTCCAAACTGACTGTATGCCAGGTGGCCAGAAGGAAGAGATGCTCCAGAGGCTGGAGGTGGAGCTCCAGATGTTGGAGGGGCTCTTAAAGAACCTACAGATATAAGGAGAAAAAAAAAAAAAAAAAAATCACAAATTACTCACAGAAACAAAGGCTTGAACCAACTACCATGAAAAATCCAGGAAATAAAAAAAGTGCAGAAACAGTTTAGCAGTGGGCAAATTTATGTATCAATACTCCATGAGCAACAAATAATTTACACAACTATATTAGAAGTAGCAAAACTGAAAGCACAAATATTTTTAGCTAGCATCACTAGTCATGATCTCCACATAGACCCAGTAGAAAATATGTACTGTGGAGGGTCTTTAAAAAGACAATTTCATCTTTTGATGAAGAAAAAAGCATTATCTTGTCAGTAAGGTATTAAATTCTTCCCTCTCCACGTCTAACTATTTTTATCCAGACCAAGGAGACTATTCACACGGAAACTAATGTCATTACAGGTCAATTTTCCCTACTTGAAAGGTAAGTAGGTTATGTAAGTAGATTCAGTTTTCAAAAATTATATCTAACTAACTGCTTTTATATACAACATAATGAAGGCCTCCACAGACTGGTCTTCCCAAACTTTCAAGGTTGGAGGCTAACAACAAATACTTTCTCATCTTTCAGGCTGAGCTGATTCAGTCACAGCCCAAACATATCTGCCTCAGAAAAAAGTGTTCACACTTTCCACAGACCACACAATGCTGGATACAATACCAACTGCAGTGTCTACTTCCAAAAAAAGAGAATCTAAACTTCTATTTTAATAACATTATGTTAAAAATGCTGATAATTAGAACAATCACAGGACCATGCCTGTCAGCCACAAGGGAATATATATTATGTATGGGGTATCATCAAATAGAGATGACTAAATAAAGTAAACTGCTCCATGAGACCAGGACAGTACATACACACTTTTGTGTCTCTGACAGTGACCGGCATGACAAGTTTAAAAGGGGTTCCAAAACCTTCTTGTGAGGAACTGTTACAAAATAAGAAATAAGAGAAGCCACTTCTCAATTCTACAGTTCAATTTATACACCAAAGCATGAGGTTTCAACTCATATTTTTATCTCATCTGCTACATGCAATCCTTAGTAAGCTTGTGGATGTAAATTAAAGGAATTAACTAGATCTCGTATAAATAACCAGTAATTTCTTGGGGCTTTTTTCTTTATTACTAAACCTCCTCTTGTTCTTCATTTTGAGACTTAGGACTTAATTATTTCCAGAGACATTTATTGGTTTTATACACCTTCATCTCATTAAATCTCATCTTTTCTGAACTACTGTTACAGCACCTTCACCTTACGGTTCCTCTGGCTAAGCATTTCCCAATCTCTAACTATGCTGTATGATATTTCTATTTCTGAATGTCTTTCGTGATACCTTTTCAGTTAATTTGATATACTTTCACCTATTTTGGAGTCTCTGTCCTTTGATAGTACATGTAAACTGTTTGGCATTGTTACCTTCTGCCTTTGAAAGCATATTTAATCCAATTCTTAGAGGTACTCTACACTTTTTTTTTTTTACATTAAGTTAACTTCCCCCCCCCCCCCCCTCAACTTTAACAGGCATACAATTTGACAAATACATGCTTACTTCAGAAAAAGCTTCTGAAGTCGTCGTCTTATAGTTCTTGTCACAAATATACTTCTGTAACCATTACCACAGACTGCTCAAATAGCCACTGAAAAAAATTCACTTGAACAGGTATGAATATCTAGTGGTTTATTATTTTAAGATTCGTTACTCTTAAGGAATCCTGAAGTTCCCCTTCAACACCTTTGAGACACCGTTCTTACTCATCACAGACCTTAAAAATGGAGGTAGATTACAGCAAAAAGGGAAATGCCTGTGATTTTACTCAAAGTCCTCAGACTATACGGTCTTGGCCCAGTTCTGACTCCCTACTCTTCTAAACAAATCGACACTGCTGGAAATAGCTCTTCCAAAATACCACTAGTTGGAAAGAAGGAAAAATACAATATTATTTCTTGCAGTGTTTCTAATTCTTACATCTTGATTGCTAGCTTTGCAAAAGTATTTCCTTCTTCAAGCCACAGCTTTTGGAATCATAATTATTCCTAACATATATTTGGTTTCTATGCTATAGGCAAGGAAGCTAAAAACTTCTTTTTTCCCCTTAAATGAAAGCATAAGTTACAAATATCTCATGACTTCAAATAACAGTCTCTTGGTGCTTGAGGAGATTTTTCATTTCTTCACGGTAACGCTATAATTTCAAATGTCACATTTTAGTTCCCTCTCAAGCGGGAGATGGCATTCTTTTAAACTAAGGATTCTCCCTGACAAAACTTGAATGGGCCAATTAAGGTTTTCAAATCAGTCTTCAGAAAACATTAGTCAGGTTTTATCTATGAATCTGCAGGCATAAGGGATTTCTACTAGGATTATTTCTTCACATCCTATTTATGGAGTGCTGCCCACAAATAGATTAGGAAGTGTCCCACCCACCTCTGCCTGAATAATCAGGTACCCACACCTTTGAGATAAATATCCATATTAAATGAGAACTTGGCACAGAAGAAGCAGCACAGCACAAACAATCCCACAGAAGGGACATCATTTACCTATGAAATTAGGTGCAAGAGAAGAAGTATCAGAGTTGAGCGATACAGGAGAGCCCTTTGAAGGGAACCCCAAGGAAGGAAAGTAACCTAGAAAGACAGAATACACCAGTAATTCAAGCCTGAGAGAAAGACCAAGAGACAGTGTCTCCAACGTCAAGGACAGCCTGCAGAGCAGAAAATACCACATGCATAAAATCCACATCACATTTATCACATTATTCCTTAAGCTATCCTTCCTCTCACTGTTCTACCACGTACAACATATATTACCAACATAGTTCATATATTATCATTAGTACAAGTGTTAATAGTATTGTAAACTGAGTCTATGTAAAACAATCCAGCAGCAGCCTAATTGTTACTGGAATTCAGATAGTTGTGTTTGCACTTTCAATGCATGATCTCATCAGAAGGAAACCGAATAGACAGACTGAAAGATTGGTGCAAAATTGTCCCAGTTCTTTCAACATTCGCATAGCAAGAAACAGCTCTTTTCAGCTAGCAGCACAGTACTCCATACACTTCTGGTGCCAAGCAAGACTAGCATCACTGACTCAGCATTCCCATGTTTCCATTAGTTAGAGCTAGGGTTTGTCACATAAATCGGATGCCAAAGACTCACTGACTGAGGACGGCACCTGCTTCCAAAACTTCTCCACTCAGTCCTCCAAGCAATTTTATTGTTATTTTTAAAATAAATCCCCAAGACAACTACTTTGAGATTACAGAATAAGACTGGCAGTTTTCCTTTCACCTCTCAGTGTTCATTTAATTCCTGTCACCCTAGTGCCTCTGAAATGAATTCTCTCTATGTTATGCAGCTACAACAGGTCTTGCTACAATGACCTGCACTAAACATGTGTTGGAGATTGGGGTAGAATGGATAGCTGTCACTATCTTCACTGTCACCTGTCTACTCTCTTTGATAATGCATTGTCTGCCACTTTTTTCCACCTGGATGTCATACACAGCAGCTACTAACAGGACAATTTCTGGCTGTTGCGTTAGTGCTCTGAATTTCACGTTCCTTCCTTCTAAAGATAGGAATCCTGGATTTACAGTAACAGGACCAAAACACACAACTTAGTAACTGAGATTTCCTTAGTACAGCCTGCTAAGTCTAGGAAGGATGGTTTCAGAAGAAAAGACAGAAGAGAAAGCTCCACAAGGGTGGCCTTCACCTAATATTATCAATAAAGTACATGAGACACTACTTAAGAGTAGTGCAATACACTTTTTTTTGTTCAAATGAGATCAGCTTGTTGTCCTCAGTGTGACACTATCCATTTCAATCATTACTGGCACAAACAAAAGCTGTATTTTTAATCTGCATAAGTCCATGTGCATGTTATCAAGCTTCCTAGATATGTCGTTACTGAGCTGTCATGAACCACATTTCTGTTGTTCTGAAACTAAAAATGGCAAACCAGAAATAATTCATAAGGAAAAAATTTAGTTCCCTTAAAAAGAAATGCTTTTCAAACTTGCAAATAATTCTTGAAGCATCTGATGGAAGATGCTCATCAGTTTCTTTTCACAAACATCATAAACATTCTTCATACTGCCAACAGTCAAAACCTGCTTTCTATAAATAGCTGCACAGATGAAACTTTTCCAGCAAATCTGTAGTAATCTTTGTCCTTCTTGAATCTCCTTATCTCCTTCACTGAAGCAAGTCCAATTTCTCCCTATTCCTCCCATGGGACAGGAAATACTAGAGTTAGTCAATGGCTACATTGAGCAGCCAACAACAGAGCGCTCAATGGCTAAGCTCTGCCTCTGTCTCCCCAGGAAGCAGGATTTCCCTCCTCTACCCAGTGCTGTTTTTCATTACTTTTATAGGAATTTAAACTCTGTGAAATTAGTTCAAAACTCACAGATTAAAAGTGCTGGTGGAAGAGATTTATTGAGAGGAGCCGAGGAAGAGGATTACGGAAAGAAAAGGAAGATGAAGCAATTGAATAACCCATTCTGTAGCACACCACACTAACTCTTCTACTCCACTAACCTGCTAACTCCAGACAAAAAACCCAACAGGGTAACTATTCAGCTCCCAAATGTCAGTCTCCCACTTCTGTTAGTTTCAAGACAACCATAGGCACTTCGTCTGTTCTATCCTTCTCACTGAGTTTGGTTTAAAATGCAAGAAGTTGCAAAAAAATTCAAGATGTACTTGGAGGGGAGAATAACACAGAGACCATTAGCATGATTAGCACGTTCTTCACTTCAGAATACCGCTCTGAAACCTAAACAAGCATTTCGGAATGGAAGTTCGTGCTGTGCTTATCTCAGCAGAACTGAATTCATCCACAGGATTCTGAAAGGCAGAAGTATTTCTACTCAAAGCAATAGCATTTTCTCCACTATATTTCAGATCTTAAAGTCACTATTAATCTCGCAAAGCAATTCAGATACTCAGAAACAAAGACTCCTAAAGTTCTTTAATAATTTTGGGGGGTTTGTGGAGGTTTTGTTTGTTTTTTAACCAAACAAAATCAAAAAGTGATATGATCCTGCAGAACCAGAGAAATTCTGGAACACATTAGCTTGCCACATATCCACAAACTTTCCATTGATTTTAAAGGCATTAGAGAAAATAGCTCCAAATACGCTTTCTGCCTGCAGTTGCATGTCTTAAGCTTTCAGGACGGAGTGCAGATCTTTCTACATAACAATGTAAGGCAGTCCCAATTATAAATCTGTTAGGAGTCCCTAACTGCTGCACCTCAACATAACCTCATGAGGAAGACTGTCCTAGCCAGGTGCTTCAGTACCATGGCAGCAGAGACAGAGAAAAAAGCAGGCTGTGCTTCTCAACACGATAATTTTACAAGCTATTAGAAAAAGAGTAAACCCTAGTAAAATGGACAAATGACAGAACAATAACCTCAGAATGTACAGGAAGAACACAATTTTTAACATCCTGTAAGCTACATACAGAAGAAAATATAATTGCTACCACAAAATAAAGATTAACAGTAGGAAACATAAAGAAGAATTCACGCAACAATTCACAGGTTTTCAATCATTACGTTTTGACTGAGAAGTACCTTGTGGAGGGACTGGCTGTTGATATCCTGGCATCGGACCATTATAAGCTCCATATTGCGATTGAGGAACCCCTGGCAATGGCTGTCCTCCGTAGGCAGGCTGCTGGTATCCCTGATATCCAGGCTGAGGTTGCCCGTAAGGAGGCCCTGTGTGAGCTTGCTGGTTTACACTCATTGTATTCACATCCCCAAACTAATCTCACCTGCAAAAAGGGGGGGAAAAACGGCTTTTAGCAGACATAAAACCAAACCGGCCAACTTCTCTGCTATTTTCACAGAAATAAGAGCTCCTGAGATACTAGGGAAAGTAAAACATCAACGGTAATCTACTCTTGTGCAGCAATTTTTTCAAGTAAGATAAATGCTTTACAAGAGCTAGTTAGAAAACAATATTTTCAGAAACTATGCTTTCTAATCAACTTTTTCACTGCTTCATCCTGGTTAGACTTCTGATAATCATCTTAGGAAAAAATAATCATAATTTGCCATTCCATAGCAGACGATTATCAAGTTTCCTGAGACACCTTACGAACTACTTCCACCTCACAGAACATCAGACCAAGAGAAAACAGATTTCATTACACAGATGACAGATTCCTTAACATAACACTTCAATAATAGTGAACAAGTTCAGCTTTCATCTCTATGTTAGGCTACCTGATCATGCTTCCTCACTACAAGCAACACACGCTTCACCATTCACAAAGGCTGCTTCTTCATGCATTTGACAGAATCCAGAACAGGACCAATATAAGGGTTTTTTGCCTTTTTTTAAAAAAACAATAAATGATTTAGTCATTTATGTACATAAATTTCAGAAAACTAAGATATTGCAAAAGCAGCATGTTCACCTACTAAAGACGTTCAAAATGGAAAGCATCACAGGCAAAGATGTCACTAAAGGAGTTATACAAAAGTTTAAGACCTGAAACAGAGCATCAGAGACAGAAGAGATGTTTCTTAGCAAAGTTATGCAAGAAATCTTGCTTTAACAGACAGATTCCCAATTCCTCTAACTAACTGTAGAAAGACAAAAATGGAAATGACATGGGGAGACCCCAAACCCAGCAGGCAATTCTTACAATACTGCTATACCAAGCAGGCAGATAAGCCAGAGCCCTTGAGTTGTGGAAAGCCAAGGAGATGACTTCACAGGCAGGAGGTTCCCTCATAGTCTATTACTCAAAGATATTTTCATAGAATCATAGAATGGTTAGGGCTGGAAGGGACCACAAAGATCATCTAGTTCCAACCCCCCTGCCATGGGCAGAGAAATCCTCCACTACACCAGGTTGCCCAAAGCCTCATCCAACCTGGCCTTGAACACTTCCAGGGATGGCGCAGCCACAACTTCTCTAGACAACCTCTTCCAGTGCCTCGTCACCCTCAACGTAAAAAATTTCTTCCTTATATCTAATCGAAATCTCCCCTCTTTCAGTTTAAATTCATTGCCCCTTGTCCTATCACTACATGCCCTTGTAAAAAGTCCCTCTCCAGCTTTCCTGTAGGCCCCCTTTAGGTACTGGAAAGCTGCTATAAGATCACCCTGGAGCCTTCTCTTCTCCAGGCTGAACAGCCCCAACTCTCTCAGCCTGTCTTCATAGCAGAGGTGTTCCAGCCCTCGGATCATCTTCGTGGCCCTCCTCTGGACTCGTTCCAGCAGCTCCATGTCCTTCTTGTGTTGGAGACTCCAGAGCTGAACGCAGTATTCCAGGTGAGGCCTCATGAGAGCAGAGTAGAGGGGCAGAATCACTTCCCTCGACCTGCTGGCCACACTTCTTTTGATACAGCCCAGGATACGATTTGCTTTCTGGGCTACCAGTGCACATTGCCGGCTCATGTTGAGCTTTTCATCCACCAGCACTCCCAAGTCCTTTTCCTCAGGGCTGCTCTCAATCCATTCTCCGCCCAGCCTGTACTTGTGCTTGGGATTGCCCCGACCCACATGCAGGACCTTGCACTTGGCCTTGTTGAACTTCATGAGGTTCTCACATATGGGTTTCCACCCCCTATACTCCTTTGGATGCTCCATATGTCACTGTCACCCTCTTCAGCTAAGACTATGTACACTAGTACTGTGTTTAAAGAAATTATTTTTTTTAATTAAAAGACTGCAGTTTATATAAAAATGCAAAGTTAAGGTGAAGTAAATAACTAATTTTGCCCTCATATTTTGCTCCAAATCGTACAACGAACTTGTGCGTTAAAGATACACAGTAAATTTTAACACCGAGGAGACACAGCTGCAACAGCCATCAGCCAGTTGAGGCAAATCCCAGTAAGGAATCTACAGCTTAACTCAAGCGGATAACACTCGAGCTGTTTTGCCTATACATTGATCAGAGTATGTCAACCAATGCTAAGGTTGGTTCTTCACATCACCAAAAATATAACATTAAAGAATTATTTCAACAACTGAAACAACAGTTGTACAGCAAGAGTACTAAAATAACTACAGCTCTGTAAGAACCATCCACACAGAAATACATTCTTTCATATTCATATATATAATAAAGGCAAAATACATATATCACAACAGAGCAATCTAATTATTTACAGAAGAAAGCTAGCATAATACATACATACCTCATTTAACCTCCAATAACTCGTAAATATGACAAATGTCAATACTAAGAGTGCTAACGCTTACTCTGAAATTAGATATTAAACTTTATATGAAGGGAAATGAATGAAGTTTTATATTTTTGTTCTTCAAATAGTATAAAGCTAATAAGGCTTTTGTTTAGAAAAATAAATTGTCTTAAATATTTAAAGGTAAATTGCTTTTGAAAGTAACAATGTCATTTTCAACAGCTTAGAACAGCATGACAGATTTTTTTTTTATCAGTCTGCACTGTTTCTAGAGATGATTACACATGATAAACATGACAGCAAGAGCATCACTGCTAAAGATTCTGGTTTCCCACACCACCTTTGACTCAGTTCTGCAGAACAGTCTAACCTGAGCAGTCATGGGATCAGGAAATTTGGACTTTGGGATCTGCTGCCTTCCCAAGTTCCCCTGAAGGTTAACCTCTTCCTCCCCACGAACGCAACCACTGCAATCACAGACCCACCCCCAACCACCTTCTGTTCAGTGCAAACAGTAAAGCAGGAGAGTTCCTCCTGCAAAGGTGGAGGTAAAGGGAAGGGAGAATGTGGTGAGAAGACTGCACATCTTGGAACATTCAGGCAGCGCTTCTGCCAAGGAAGGAGAGTTGCTTTCTCTTCTTCCTGTCCCTGACTACTGTTTATTGGATTGTGCACGAGGAACTTGGCTTCTAGTCACTGCTGCTACAAACAGGTCCTTCTCCCAAGGAGAGCTGCAGGCAAAGTAGCAGCATCCTGCAGGACACCTCCTGAGCTATAATCGTTAAGATAAACTTCACAAGTTACACCTACAGAAATCCCTGAAAAGATCTAATGTTTGAACAAGGAATTACTACAGGGCAGGAGAAGATCAGTCTTTCATGCTTTTTTTCCTTTTTTTTTTTTTTTTTTAAGCATGACAGGGCAAGGACTCAAGCACATCCCTTGTAAACTACTTCTGACTTAATGATGTGAATATACTCTGTACATCTTACCTGATCATCTTTCACTATTCTCTCTTCACCCTTCCTGCATGTGAACATCAGTACTGCCCACTTGAGCCGGTAATATCTGCTGGCTTGTTGCCCTCTCCGCAATAATACTGACCAATACTTACCAAGAGGTAAGCTCATTTAATGCAAGTCTTACAAAGGACAAGAGTTTTGAGGTAATTTCCTACACTTTCTATGGAAAAAGTAGCTACACGAAAGAGGTGGTTATAACTCAAAGTGTACTAACTGAAAGGTAGATATACCTCAGACCTTTAGCTAGCCCATGTGGCAGCCAGCACAGGCTAATCACCACAGCACAAGCTGATGCTTGCTCCATACTGACAGAGGGTTGAGGAGGGAGGTGGAAAGGAGGGATAAGACTCGAGACTAAGCTCGGTGTCAAAGTTGCAGACAAGGCTGCTTCATTGTTTCGGTTGCTTGACTTGCTCTAAATGTAAGGCTAGTGGCATGCTTCCTCATCACTGATGTGCAATACCACAAAGGGCAGGGCCAAGAGTATCCACCTCTGAGAAGCCGGAAGACAGTTGTCACTGAATGAGTCCATTTTCCTTCTCCCTCAGTACAAGTCACTTGTATTAAACAGCATTCATTTTGTCTCCACTCAAAAAACACATGTAAATTAGAACCTGGTCACTTGAAGAGAATTTTATGTTCTCTGTCTTATGACATGAAGAAAAAAAACCCAAAACCATCAGATAGGGAGAAATAGAGAAAACAAGCTGTTTCACTTCACAAAAATATCGAGGATAGTCCTTTGCATGTAGTAACATATTACCAAAACTAAGTTAAATATAATATTAAAACACATTGTCAAACATCACATTACTACTCAGCAGCTACAATACACAAAGATCAAATAAGCTGGACTCATGCTATCGGGAAAATACTATGACAACAAGTGGTCGTTACTAAAAATAACGAACAATTTTCTTACAAAGCACAAAGCAGTCACTCTGTGCTGTTTTCTATTCCTCTCTACAAAGGCGGTTGACCATGGAAGTTTTGGTCAAAATAGTTACACAGCTAAAATTCATGCTGGAACACTGTTACACAAGACAACCAGTGCTAACCAGCAATGAACTGATGGGATAAAAATACACAGTAATCCTGGAGGGGGTGGTCTTTCAACTTTTTCAATAGTTTCCAGGTTCCTTAGTATCCAAATAAAGGCTGCAGTGCAGTTTTTACTTGCCTATGTTTTTTTTTTTAAAAAAAAAAACAGTGATTCATATGCGCTTGTTTCAATCATCAAATCTCCCAAATCACTGAAAACTGCATATTCATCATCTTTAATGGTCTGCATTCACAGTTAATTCCCTTTTGAAACCAAAAAGCTTGATCTCATCAGTTCTTGATCACTTTCTAAAGGAAACATATACAGCAAAATTACCTTCCTTCAGAATGATGCTTGTGCCTTTTTTACTGGTCGCAGAGGAATGAAAGTCTTGTTTGTTTCAGTTTCTGAGGGAGCCTGAGCCTTAAAAAAAATTTTAATTTTTTTTTAAATGACAACAGCAAGGCTTCCTATATTACACTGAAACTGAAGGAAACATGTATATTTAGTTTCTGAACACCAATCAAAACCATTTCCGAACAATGAGACAG